AGTGACTCCACCCATCCTGCCAATGGACTGTTCACCCTTCTGCCTTCTGGCAAACGCTATCAAAGTATGCGATACAAGACTGCCAGATTCAGAAATAGCTTCTTTCCACAAGCTATTAGACTGCTCAATTCACATTGACATATACAGATATACTGGTTGATGGACTGTTGAATACATAGGTATGGACTGATTGATTCATTTATGTTATTCTTCCCTATGCTGCTACCTGATGGACTGCTGTTATATATGTAGATTAGTTGAATCACATATGTGGTTTCTTCTGTTCTGACACTTTAGAGCAGTATTGATTATGCACTCATAGTGTAATCATGTGCAATACATCCATTTTTGCACTACCTTAAGATGTATAGTAATGTATATCATGGTATTTGTTGTTGTGATATATATATAATGTTTTTTTATTATTATTATTATGTATGCACTATTATGCACATTGAGCATTGGGCTCGGAGAAATGCAATTTCATTCTGCTGGACACTTGTTGAAAGGCTAGAATGACAATAAAGTATTTTGTACTTGAACTTGAACTTGAACTAGTGATTATGAGGTCAACAAATTCAAGCGGTCGACTTCACATTGCTTTCATATGCAATTTTGAACTACCACCTTCCTATTTACAATTGTTCTGGTAGCACGTGAAGGCAGCATCAGTGAAAACCGGCAGAGATGATGGTAGCTTTAGCAACATTAGCCTTACAGAGTGCCAAGAAGCTATTTCAGAAAGGCAATTTGGAACAAAATATGACTCCTATATTCATTGGTGCATCCCAAAACACAACACTTACATTTACATTTAGTCATTTAGCGGACGTTTTTATCCAAAGCGACTTACAAATGAGGACAATGGAAGCAATCAAAATCAACAAAAGAGCAATGATATACAAGTGCTATAACAAGTCTCAGTTAGCTTAACGCAGTACACATAGCAAGGGTTTTTTAAATAATATAATAAATAAAAAGAAAACAGAATAGAGCAAGCTAGTGTTAGAGGTCTTTTTTGCTTTTGTTAATTGTATAATAAATGAAAAGAAAACAGATGGAATACAAAAAGATTAGAAAGCAAGTGTTAGGTTTTTGTTTTGTTTAGTTTTTTTAAGAAAACAAGCAGCAAATGAATAGAGTGCAAGTCTAAAATGACAAGTTTTTTTTAAAGAATAGAATTAGAATAGAGAGTGCTAGAGTTAGAGGGTAAAATAAAGATGGAAGAGATGTGTTTTTAACCTTATAATATTGTCATTATAACTTACAGTGCCTCTTTGGTGCTGACATTGTATATCTCCAGCAGCTACAGCAAGCCTTGTAAAAGTGATTTTTGCATTATAGGTCCCCTTTAAATAAAGACAGAAGTAAGAAATTTGGATGGTAATATGGTAGAGTGGTAATTAGACAATTTCGGAAAGGCAAGCATTAGCAAGTTAGCTTTGAAAGCAAGATCCCTCCCTCCCTGCGTAATCACTCTGCAAAGCCACGCCTCCTCCTAAACACATGGATGCGCACAGGCAGACCAGAAGCTAACAAGTGACACGATGAGAGATGGCATTGGTGGAGGGTTGAATGCAATGAATCATGTCTGTGTGAACAGTGTGCGCCGAGGTATGCAAATACAAATGTTGACAGGCAGGTAGGACAGCCTATCGAAATCCTCGGACCGAGGAATATGATTTTATGAAAATGTTATGGTCCTACACCTTCCGCAGACAGTATAAATACATTTAGACCACTTAACTTAGTGACTGCTATCGGGATGTGAAGAGACTTTCAACCAGCATAACAAAAATGTATTTTGAACCAAATCACCTACCCTGCTAGTTGCTAGTCTCCCTATGAGTGTGTGTCCTACAGTTTGAATTCAAGACCACAGCATAGAATACTCAGTGAGTTCTGGAGTTTAAATGGTGTTTATGGGACACCACAGAGGGAGGTACAGTTTTCCAAAAAAAAAAAACCTTTTTACACATCTGAAGTTTGCAAAATCATGCCTGGTTGTTTCACAGTACTACTTGAAAAATATCCAGTTGATAGATGAAACCAGGTGAGTTGTTTAGAAAAAAACACTTATACACACACACACACACACATACACAACACTTTGTGCCTCATTGTCTGGACTGCTTGCTGTATCATTAGCGGGAAAATGAATTCCTAGGTTTAGGACATTTTTCAGGAGGATGTGCAGCCATCTGTTTACCAGTTAAAGCTCTGGTAAACAGAAGTTTAAATGTGATTAACAAAACAATATCCTAAAGCAGCAGTAAATGCCAACAACAGGCAAAAAATAAATAAATGAATACACCTTCTAGAGTGGCCCTGTCCTGATTTCAAGTCTTATTGAGATGCCTTGGCATGACTTGAGAGAGTGATTTACACCAGATGCCCCAAGAATATTGCTGAACTGAAACTACACTCTCAGAAAAACGGTACAAAAGCTGTCACTGGGGCGGTACCTTTTCAAAAGGGACACTTTTGGACTTTTTATGTACTAATATGTACACTTTAGGTACTTATATGTATCTTTAAGGTACCAATATGGACTCTTTAGGTACAAAGGTGTGCCTTTTGAAAAGGTACCACCCCAGTGACAGCTTTTGTACCTTTTTTTCAGAGAGTGTAGTTTGTTTTGCAAGATGGTGCAAAATTCTCTCTGACTGTTGTCCAGGTCTGATTACAGAAAATTGTTGGTGGGTGTCATTTTCCGAAGAAAGCACGTCCAGTTATTGAATCCAAAGTTCCCATTCTTTTTCCATTTTCCACTGTACTGTGAACCGTAAAGACATGTATACGTTTATAAAATACTTATTTGATTATGCCAGCTGTGCTTGTCCATTTTTGTGACTATATTTTAAAGGGGTCCTATTACGCTTTTTCACTTTTTTTATTTTAGTCAGTGTGTAGTGTGTATGTTTGCGCATAAAAAAGATCTAGAAATTTACAAATCTCAAAGTCCACTCCAAAGGGAGATATTTCGTTTTTTAAAAATCCCTTTTCAAGAACTACAACGAACGGCTCGTTTGGACTACAGCGTTGGTTTCCGGGCTTTGTGATATCACAAAGCGGCTCATTAGAAGATCATTAAAAATAATTCCCGCCTACAGAAATTCGAATGGTTGGGGGGTGGGGAGGGGCGAGGTTGTGGTTAGAACGCTTGGTTGAGTGAGTGCATCAGACGAGACGATGAAGAAGAAGTGCTGCTGCAGAGTTAGTGCATCAGAGAAAACGACGAAGAGCTGCCGTGCTGTAGCGTCAAATTTTCGGCATGTCTAGAACAATTTTTACAAGTACAACACGACGTAGCTGGGCGCCGCGGACAGACGCCGAACGGCACCACCGGTGTGCCTTCACTAATAGAAAATAATGTATTCGAATTTTAAAGACGTGGTGCGACGCGACGCTGCGCTTCTCGTCCGGTGTGCGACCGCCTGAAACGCTGTTTTTTCTTTGTTTGTGCTTCCGAAAGCGACTGATGTCAGGAAATAGTGGTTGCAATTTATTTTTTAACTCTGTTCCTGAGCATTATAACCCCAACTTGCGCATTTTACTGAGGACAGCTTCCAC